AGTTGGACAAGGAAAAGGAGGGAGTCCTACTCCCGGTAGGAGTAGGACTCCTCCCTGGCGCGCCTCCTCCTGGCCGGCCGCCCCTCCCCCTTGCTCCTTTATATACAGGGGCAGGGGGGCACCTCTAAACACACAAGTTGATCTTCGTGATCGTTCTCTTAGCTGTGTGCGGTGCCCCCTCACCATAATCCTCGATAATCTTGTAGCGGTGCTTAGGCAAAGCCCTGCGACGGTAGAACATCAAGATCGTCACCACGCCGTCGTGCTGACAGAACTCTTCCCCGACACTTTGCTGGATTGGAGTCCGGGGATCGTCATCGAGCTGAACGTGTGCTAGAACTCAGAGGTGCCGTAGTTTCGGTGCTTGATCGGTCGGGTCGTGAAGACGTACGTCTACATCAACCGCGTTGTCATAACGCTTTCGCTTTCGGTCTACGAGGGTACGTGGACAACACTCTCCCCTCTCGCTGCTATGCATCACCATGATCTTGCGTGTGCGTATGAAAATTTTGAAATTACTACGTTCCCCAACAGTAGGCCCCTCCTTCCTTTCCCTCCTCAAGTGGGAAAGGGAAGGGGGGGCACCCTCCCCTGCCTTTCCCCCGCACTTATACAAGGCAGGAGGAGGTGTGCGGCTTGGGAGAGACCTCAAGTAGGATTCCTCTTACTTGGGCACCCCCTTGGCTGCTCCTCCCTCCCTCCCACCTATATATATGTGGGAGGGGGCGCCTAGCACATAACAGACAATTGCCTAGCAGTGTGCGGCGCCCCCCTCCACCGTTTACACCCCGGTCATATTTTCGCAGTGCTTAGGCGAAGCCCTGCGGAGATCACTTCACCATCACCGTCACCACGCCGTCGTGCTGACGGAACTCATCTACTACCTCGACATCTTGCTGGATCAAGAAGATGAGGGACGTCACCGAGCTAAACGTGTGCAGAACGTGGAGGTGTCGTGCGTTCGGTACTTGATCGGTTGAAGCACGAAGAAGTTCGACTACATCAACCTCGTTGTGAAACGTTTCCGCTTACGGTCTATGAGGGTACATAGACACACTCTTCCCCTCGTTGCTATGCATCTTCATGGATAGATCATTGCGTGTGCGTAGAAATTTTTTGTTTTCCATGCAATGTTTCCCAACATGTCTCCCCCTCCTAAAGACTACAACACTCGGTTTATATAGACACCGATAGGGTTAGGGTTACCGGAGATCGATTACAATAAGGAATAAAAAGATCTTGTCTATCCTTAACTTGGAGGACACACCACGGCTTCATAGATCTTCTGTCGCTATGCGGCTTCACCACTCCGGCCCATATTCAATAGGCCGGCACCCCGAGGACCCCTTAATCCACAACTCCCTCAGGCTCCATTGCAATTTCCCCTAAAGTTCTGTCCCTGAATAGTTTTTCCCTAACCTCCCTGCTTCCAGCGTGATATGGAGGGATGCTAGAGCAGCACGCCGTTGGCCGCACTCAAGAGTCTTAACACAATCTCCATTACCGCCGGGGTGATTTGCTCGGATGTGAGGTGGATACAAGTTGCAACATATACCTGTTTACATAAGAAATCCTATGGCTTGTGGAAAGCAGCTACACTTCGAGGAAGAAGACGATGATTTTTTTTATAGAATAAGAAGATACATAGGACTGGGAATCAGGCGTGGTGTTTCTGAGCTCGAGCTGAGGAGTAAAATTCAGAAAATTGAAAACAAAAAAAAAATCAAAAAACTCTATCATGGAATGACATTTCTAGAAGTCATGATAAAAACAAAATCGATGCTCCAAAAGTGTTATTTTCGGAAGAATTTTGGGGTGCTGACATTGTTTTTTGCCACGATTTCGATAAATTTCATTTTATAATGAAATTTTGTAGGCGCTCAAAACATTTAACAAAGTTTGCCACAAAAACATTTTGGATTTTTTTAATTTTTTTAAATATTATTGGATTTTTACTGTTCATCACAAGCTCAAATGAGCTCGCGAGGAGAAGATGACTTTCGCTTCAGATTCTTTTTTAGAAGAAGAAGAAGAAGAAGATGGGATCGGCGTTTTGGCTCCCGGGCTCAAAAACTTGAAAAGTACTAAATAAATGAACAAATACATTTTCTGAAGAAAGATGCATGAGTGCGTGATGTCCGTGCCAAATTTCAGAGCATTTGAATGCCTGAGTAGCTCTCTGCAAAAAAAAAGGAAAATTTGGGGCCTGTGAAAAAGTTTACTGTTTGTGCACTGTTTGTATTTGATTTTTTTTTGCTAAGAGCTATTTAGATGTCTAAATGCTCTAAAATTTGGCTTGCACTCAAACATCTTCCATGCCAAAACAATCGACATTTTGTGAATTTTTCTAGTATTTTTTTAAATTTACTGTTCACATGTGTAGAGTCCGTACTTCAGAATTGTATATTCGGAAGAAGATAAGATGCATTGTTTTTTGAGACAAAGAAGATAAGATGCATAGGACTGGGAATCCTTCTCTTCTCTTTTCTAGCACGCCCAATTATGTTTCTTTCGTCCTCTCGGATGCTGCACGGTTTCCTCTTTCGAGTCCAGATGGGTCACGGCCCATGTCGTCCAAGCCCAGCAAGTCTTCAAGTACGCCCCCAAGAGCCCTGCCTCCGCCCCTCCCTCCCTTCCAAGTTCCGCCGACCCACCGCCGACTCCCACGCCGCCGGCGACCCGCCGCTGGACCCATCCGCCCCGCCCCGACAACCAGGTCAGCCGCTCTCTCCTCCTCCCTCCCAGATCCGGCCGCCCTGCCTTCCTCTGACGCATCAACTCTGATTTTCGCATATGAAATTTGCGCTCGGATTAGAAATTTTCAGTTTACCTCCGATGCATCGACAACATGTATCCGAGCTCAGATTTTTATGCTAGTTTATATCAATCCTATGTAGGACATCGTGGATCTGCAAATCTTTTGTTGTTTCGCATAACAACTGAACTCAATCAAATAGCTAACGAACAAAGGCTGCTAGAAATACAGAGGCTTATCCTCACTCCTGCTTACTGATGCTCATCCGGACAGCCGGCTTATCCACCCTAGGTTTTTGTTCTAGGTTATCTGTTTCCCGAATCTGTAATTCTGATGCATCAACTCTGTAGTGAGTATTGATCTGTAATTCTGAATTTAGTCCAGCAAGATGTTTTAAACACGATCTTGCCGGATTTGACTATCCTAAACTGGATACAAGCGGACATGAAAAATACGGGCTAAACTTCAGAACATATGTTTATTTGTTTCAGTATAGGCCTTATATTTGTGAATTTGCTGCTAAAAAATTTCAATGCTCTGTCTACTGGCAGAGTTTGTTGATGCGCAGGTCAATTGTTCCCGACCTCTTGCCAGAATAATTGTAGCAGCAGTTGAGAAGCAGAGGTTAAAGTGGTTGTGCATGTGTTTCTGAAGCAAACTGAAGTAAGTTGAGATATCGGGATGTATGATTGGAAGAATCAACAAACCTTGAAATATTACTACTGCTAGAACTGCTCTAAGATCAGGAAGATGATGGACCCTTTGGGGTTGTTCCCTGCCTCATCAAGCCAGCTGCCAGATGATCTGCTCATCGAGATATTTCTCTGCCTCCCAGCACACCCCACCTGCTTGATTCGCACGTCCCTTGTCTGCAAGCGATGGCACTGCCTCATCAAAAACCGCCAATTCGTCAGCCGCTTTCGCACACTTCATCAGAAACTCCCTGTGCTTTGCTTCTTCAGCAACTCCACTAGCATCCCCCGTTTTATCCCCACAGGGGACCCTCCTAATTGTGTCTCAACGGCAGCCTTCTCCCTGCCTGACCCCTGCTGGCAGGTCCTTGGCTGCCGTCACAGCCTTGTTCTCCTTGTTAGCTCAACCTGGACTCAGCTCCAGGTATGGAACCCCATGACTAGCAGCAGGCAATATGTACCGGCTACTCCGGATGCTGATCGGCGTTTTAATCATGGTATTGTTCCTGAGAGCCAAGCTACAGTGCTTTGTGCAGCTGGCCACAAGGACAGTGGTGACTGCCACTCTTGCCCTTTTCTCGTAGTGTGGGTATTCACTTGCACACGCTATGCCTATGCCTGTAGATACTCGTCAGAGAGTAGCAGCTGGCACCAGATGGTTTCTAAACCAACACCATCTGATATTGATTCAAGGCCTAGTGTCCTTGTTGGGAACATCTTGTACTGGCCGCTGAAGGCAAAGTATATCCTTGCCTTTGAGTTGGATACACGTAAATTATACCATATTGAGTGTCCAGAAGATACACATAGTGTGTACAGAAGGAATGTCCACATCATGAAGGCAGAGGACGGTGGGCTAGGCCTTGCTGCCTTGACGGAGTTCAACCTGCGCCTATGGGCTCGGGAGACAGGTCCGGAGGGTGTTATGGAATGGGTGCTGCGCAGGACCATTCAGTTGGATGCATTCCTTCCACCGAATGTGTCATCGGTGCCGTTGGTAAATAATCATTCTGCCAGTGGGCGTCCGGTCAGGATATTGGGTCTCATTGAGGACGATGATATGTTTTTTATGTGGACGAGAGAGGGCGTCTTTGCAGTGGAGCTCAAGTCAATGCGGTGCAACAAAGTTTTTGAGGCTCAAGTCCCTGCAACTATCTTCCCCTACATTGGCTTTTATACCACAGGTGCCGATCTCTTGACACTGTATGCTTTTGCCTTCACTTTTGTTTCAATTCTCTGTTTCATCCGTGAATACTTCTTGCTGATTATAAGTTAGTATTAGACCAGGTTTCGTATCTTTGAGGAGATGAAACTTTAGCTTGCCTCTTTTATGCTTAGGAAAGTTGTACGCCTACATCCTATTTCTGTGCAAATTTCAATGTAAATTTTGTCTTATTCGTTCTGTTATTCACAGCCCATCCATTCCTTGCTTGATTTCTGGTTTTCTTTCGATCAGGCCAAGTTGAGCATGTTTTATTTCTCTTGTTTGCAGGTGATGTGGACGGTGCGCCGTGAAAATTGTCGACCCGGATGAGATGATATCTGCATTATTTTGCTGAACTGTTTTAGACCAACCCTATGAAGCACAAACTTGTTTGTTATATGTAAGCTGTTTTTCTTACTACCAAGAAGGCAGTGTGTGTGTGTGTGCGTGTGCGCGCGCGCGCGCGTTCTGAAGACTATCCTTTGTTGTATAAGACTATGTTGAAACTAGTTATGAATAACGAAAGTTCTTTTGAGAATGGTTTAGAAATTCTGAGCTTTTGTTTTTCATCCTTGAAATTCACGGACGCAAAAATGGCTGGCTCTCCACTTGATCTCCATCAGCAGAGCACTACAAGAAGCTAGAAACGGTCTCTGCAGACCTGCAAGGCAATCTGAGGCTGCGGTGTACGAGGTCCTCAGCGAGTGTGACTTGCCTCCTGCACGCCATATATAGCTTCCACCATGAAGTCGACTCGTCCATAAGGCGCCAGACGGTGACCTGCAGGTAGGGGTAAGCTCGGAACTCGTGACTCGGCTCTAAATATAAATCCTTTTAGAGGAGATTTCAATATGGACTACATAAAATGTATATAGACGTAGTTTAGAGTGAGGGGGGTGTCTAAAGTCTTCTTCCTACTACATGTACGGACGGCGCGCCGTGAGTACATCTTTGTTACCATGAAACGGCCAATAGATGGATTATTATCACAAAAAGTTATAAGCCTCAAGCCATTTTTGATAAGCAGTTTGACAAGCCATTTTTGTTCTGGAATGATAAGAGCATCTTCAATCGTAAATGGACAATTTGACTCTTGTATCTACTCCTTCCGTTCCGAATTACTTGTCGCAGGTATGGATATATCTAGATGCATTTTAGTTCTAGATGCATCCATTTTTACGACGAGTAATTTGAAACGGAGAAAGTAGATAGGAGCCGATTGATCCATCCGAACAATCATACCTCTTAATTTTAAAACCTCAAATCCATATAAAGACATGCACGTAGATTATTCTATCCACACCAGGCACACTGCATGGTACTCTCTCGCGTGGGGTGGAGTGGGTTGACGGGTTCGTCATGGGGTGAGGGGGGTTCATGTACGTTCTCATCCTACCCTCTCGAATGCTTCCATTTGGATGCACGTCGGCGGAAAATGGCAAAACATGTAGCTAATTACGTAATGATTTAAATGCTTTTATATGTTTTTACAGTGGGAGTAATAGCTAATCACGGAGTACAGTGAGTGCACGGGGCCGCAACCCGAACCGCTAGCACATGCTTTTTTTTAATACAGTACTCCCTTTGGTTCTTTTTAGTCTGCATATAAGTTTTGTCTGAAGTCAAAGCATCTCCACTTTGACCGAATTTATAAAAAAAAGTATTAACATTTACGATGGCAAATCAATTTTGTTAGATTCATTACGAAATTTAGTTTCATGGGATATATATTCGGTATGGTATATATTGATATTTTTTAATATATATATTTGGTCAAACTTTGCAAAGTTTGACTTGATCCAAATCTAATATGCGGAGTAAAAAGAACCGGAGGGAGTACAAAAAAAACTACTGAACAGAAATCTTGTACCGGGCGGAGTGGGTCCAGGCCCGGCCCGTGAAGTTTTCCCCACCTACCTACAGAGTTTCTCATGGCCTGGAGTTAAGCCCACTCAGACTGTCAAATGGAGGCCCAAAGGTTGGGTTGACTGGGCGACCTAACACGCACGCGACCAACGCTCGCGCCGCCTCCCCCTGCCACTTCCCTCCCCAGCCAGTCAGCCACCCGGCCCCAGGCTGCTGGTCTGCTTCCCTACCGTGCTGCCGGCCTGCCTCCGTTCGCCTCCCGCGCTGGCTCCCCTGCTCCCCTGACTGGCGCCATTCTTGGTAATTTCATTTACAGTTTCCTGTTTATTCATGCATATCTTGAACTCAAAATTGATACTATGGCGAATTACTACCAAATAGCATCAGAGTAGAATAGAGAATTCGCAGGGATTAGTTTGATTTCATTCATCAATGTACGATTATAAAAATTTCTCGTGGGAAACAAATGCTATAGACACATGTGCTTAGTATGACATCACCGTGGCGCTAATAATAAATATATTCTCTCTTTACTGTTTAATGTCATCTTATTTGCGTCTTCTGAGTGGATTTATTTTATATCATTAGGCCATTTAGGGTTTCTTAGATGTGGGGAAATGTTAGTGCAACATGCATTATCTTGTATTGAAGTAGATACCCGGATTTGTCTGACTAATTAACCCTCTGTGTAACCAGAAAATTTTCTACATGGGGAAGAAGCCGTGCAGTGCTGGCCCTTCCTCGGCATCCAGGCCCATGAACCAGGCCATGTCGCTCCGCGAGGAGACCTCCGGGAAGACACAAGCCAACACGCCCTCCCTGCTGAGGGTCCAGCACCTGCAGCGGCTGGGGGCGTGGGCGACCGGTGAGGCGGGAGTTGGCTCGATCGGAGCACTGCTGGGCCGCCGCTTCGCCATGGACGTCGAGGTGGCCGGGATCCCCATAGGTGCTTCACTACCGGATTCGCGGACTATGCCTACGGCCACGGGCCGTCGGCATAGGCCCCTAGGCCGTCGGCATAGATCTATGCCTACGGTTGTCGTCGGCATAGGCCCGTCGGCGTAGATGTCGTCAGCGTAGTCTTGTCAGACCGTCGGCATAGTATAGCCGTCGGCATAGGGGCCTATGCCGACGGCCTGACGTCAGCCGTCGGCATAGTTTAGCCGTCGGCAGTGTTTTTCGTCTGACGGCAACGGACGGCGCCGTCAAAAGCGCTGACAAATCACGAAACGCCACGTGGCACAGGTATGCCAACGGCTTTGCCGTCGGCATATCTCTGCCACGTGGCAACCCGTGGTACTCCTGGTGGCAGGGCTATGCCTATGGCAAACCCGTGGTACTCCTGGTGGCAGGGGTATGCCTACATAGAGGTATGCCAACTCTGCATATTCATCTATGCCTACGGCTTTGCCATAGGCATAGCTCTGCCACGTGTCGTTTCCTGGTTCCTCCTGGCAGCAGGGCTATGCCTACAGCAAAGCCGTCTGCATAGATTTCCAGCTATGCCTACGGCAAAGCCGTCGGCATAGATATGCCACGTGGCAAGCCTTGGTAACTCCTGGGCTTATATATGCCGACGGCTTTGCCGTAGGCATAGTTTTTTTCCCTGTTTTCTCTTTTCCAATTTATTTGACAGCATTTTAAAACAGAATAATATGAAATTATGCAGAAATATGACAATTCATCATCTAAACATACTCAAGTTCACCATCATCATCTAAACATACTCAAGTTCATCACATCATCTAAAGATCATCACCGACGGAAGTTCATGAACATAAAAGTAGTGCAAGACATGAAACATCATAAAAGTAGGAATATGAAAGGCATGGCACGATGGCCACATGCACGGAATCATCAAGCAAGACCACCTCCGCCAAAACCACCACCTCCGCCAAAACCACCACCACCTCCGCCAAAACCACGGCCACCACCTCCGCCAAAACCGCCATCGCGACCACCACCACTCTACCAGATCGGAGTGACTGGGGTCGACGGAGCAGGAGTCGAGCCACCGGTCCCCTACATGTTTCAGAAAAGATTCTAACGGTAAATATGATATGATAGTGTTGAATGAACGAGAACTAGTTTGCCAGTAGTTAGGCAAATGTACTAACCGGACCATCACTGCCTAGTGCCACCCATTCATCGAACGTGGGCACGTGTGGGGGTTCTCCCGCAGGTGGTGGTGGGGGTCCCATTTGTGGTGGATCCGTGCGGTTAGTCCAAGACGCCAACATAGCCTGAATGTTAGTTAAACAAGCAAACTAGAAGATCAGAAGGAATGAAAGTGCAAAAGTTGGGCATAAATCCATGCGTGCAAAGGTGCTTAGTCATCTCACTCTTATCTCTGCGGATACGCCTCTTACATCTGGCACACGGGCATTCTGGCACCATCCTCATTGGACTACGGAATATCTCTTTCAAAAACACATCAGTTTTCTCGACCCACTCTGTTGTTACTTGATTCCGATGGAAAAACCCACTATACATCCACTGATTATCTGCCATCTCTGCTTTATTGGAAGCCACACAACAAAATTAAGGATTCATTTAAATTACTCACATCAATATTTTATTTTTTACAAGGTTGATGAGAAACGACATTTAATCCACCTACATATCTAATAGGTAAAGATGGGTACTAATCCCACCCGAGAATGTGTAGATTGAGTACGTTGTCCATGCTCTACCCCATTCCGAGACAAAATTTCGGCAGCACCTCCCCGCTGTTCTCCAAATACACGTCTCGGCAAAATGCCGAGAGAATGTGCATCCGGAGAACAACAGGGAGGCACCGCCGAAATCCTGTCTCGGAACGGGGTAGAGCATGAACAACGTACCCAATCTACACATCCTCGGGCTGTCCGCGAAAAGCGCTGGACAATCCGAAAGAGCTGCGGTGATAAATATGCAATTGAATGCATATTTATCGATGCAACCCTTTCGGACGGGAGACCTAGGTTACGCGACTTGATGTGAAAATTTAATCTAGTGACATGGAAAAAAAGTGGACGAGGTCATGGAATTGTTGCTCACCCTCCGATGTAGTCGATCAAAGGAGACGCACGATCATGGACCAACACCTCCAACATCGACAATCACTCCACGAAGATGGAACACCATAAATCCTGTTAATTACACCGAGTGAAAAAAAATTAGGTCATCACCTCACATTAAGCATTGATACTTTTAACTATGAAAAAAAATCATGTTTCGTCAAGTGTCAAATTTTATCCTTCAATTTTTTTAGCAAGATCATCATGATTAAATAACCACTCATCATATCATAATTTTGTAGCACATCTCACATAGCTACTTAACATTAAGCACTGACACTTAAAACTATGAAAACAAATCATATTTTGTCAAGTGTCAAATTTTGTCCAGTTCAATTTTTTTGACAAGATCATCATGATAAAAATAATCACTCATCTTATACCAATTTTAGAGCACATCTCAAATGACAAGATCATCATGATAAAAATAATGCAACCTAACAATCTAACATCCTAACATCCAACATTCACGTATATATCAACCTAACAACCTAACATCTAACATCTAACCTAACAATCTAACATCCAACATCCATCCATGCATTCATTCATCCATCCAACAGTACAAAAAATGCAAAAAAAATGAAAAAAATGTAGCTCACCGAGAGGGGCGTGGCAGGGGGCGTGGCGGTGGAGGGGATGGTGAGGCAGGGGCGGTCGGG